ACTGTGCAGGAGCCGACCCCACAAAGCAGGACTCGCTTTAGAAGGGCTCTGGTGCCTGTTGAGTCACCCTTTGGGTGTGTCATTTGTGGAGGTGGTTGGGTGGTGCTCTGTGTGGTCTAAATCTGGCCACTGGGTGTGTTGGTTCTGGGGTTTCTTGAGAGGCGTCCTGGTGCAGGCCAAGTTCAGCTGCTGCCTTTGCCTGGCCCAAGGCCACCTGGTATGAGGTACTGAGTGTTCTGCAGATGGTTGCCACTTGTACTGACTGGGCTTGGAGGTGCCTGGGAGAAGCTAAACTGTAGACCAAGGCCAACTGCGCAGTGCCAGGATTAGGGCCACTTAGCAAGAGGTACAGGGCATGCTGAGGCCAGACACTGCTTGTTTGGGGTCTGTGAAACTTTGAGAAATTTTAGGAAAGTCTGTAGCATAAGCCAAGACAAGCCACTGGAAGCAGCTTGGTTGCCCCAAAAGTCGGGTGGGGTGAGGTCTCAGGGAATCACCAGGGTGGTGTGAACAGTGTTAGTCAGGTTGCTGGAGACTCACACTTAGCACTTGCAAGCTGAGTTGCGGGAAAGACTTAGGAAAGGAACAGTGGCTTCTGCCAGCACTTTCTGTTTTGGAGGAAGCTGCCCCTACAGCCCTCACCCTGAAACCAGACAATGCAGTTCCTCCCCATATGTCATTGGTGCCTTTGGAGCTGCTGCCCCAGTGCTGGAGCTCAGAGTGAGTGAGTCCATCAGTGAGCAAATCTGTGTATGGGTCCTTTAAGAGGAATTCCTAGGACTCCAGCAGCCCTCCATCTCACTCAGCCACAATCCCCACTGCTTTTCACAGCCAGAGTTATGGAGACTTCTCTTCCTAACAATGGAACCCTGGGTTAGGGAGCCCTGTGTGGGATTGGGATCCCTTCCTCCTCCGGAGTACCTCTGTAGTCCCCCGCAGCTGAGATATCCCTCCTAATTTTTAACTGCCACACATGGGTATGGGATCAACCCATTTTGCATCTCTGTTCCTCCTACCAGTCTCAATGTGGCTTCTACTCTATGTCCTTAGTTGTAGGACTTCTGTTCGGCTAGACTTCAGGTGATTCTCAGTGATGACTGTTCTATAATTTATTTGTGATTTTAATGCAGTCATGGGAGGAGGCATGCACAGTGTTTACCTATTCTGCCACCTTGACTGGCAGTCTCATTTGAAGTTTTGGCTTTAAATAATATCCTTTCACTCTTAAGTTATTACATATGAAGCAACCAGCAAGTTTATTCTACTTTCTACCTTATTTTCCCCTTCACTTATTATTTTTTCCTTGGTTGTATTATTTCTACATTGTCAGAGAACACTTACATTCTATTCCAGCATCCCTATCTCTGCTTTAAGTCTTAGTTGACAGTTAAATATACTCTTTGTTTACCACTAATACTTTTCCAAGGTCTGCCATTTCTTGGTTGGCTAAACTCAGGTTGATCGATCCTTAGGACAAAGCTCTAATATGGTCAAAACTGTCAGAAGAGCAGCTTGGTTAGATGGAAACATCCTTGGCTCACACTCAATTTTTTCTTTCTTTGATTTTCAACAATCTTAGTTTTATATGAGTGTAAAATTTGGCCAAAGTTTTTTTTTTTTTTTTACTTTTTTTTTTTTTTTTGACTGGGTGTCCAAGATATTCTTTCTTTATCTTAAAAGTCATATTAGATCTTGGTGTCAATTTTGTGGGTCCATCTGGGTCAATTTGTTTTAGGCACATAATTTGCCCTTTCAATATATAGATTCAAGTCTTCTTTTATCAGAAAAGTTTTTATGAATTATGGTTTAGAGCAGAAAATTCCATTGTTTGGTTTCCTCTTTGGGGAATCTAACAATAGATATATTGGATCTCTATCACTTTCTACTGAATTCTTTTTACATTCCAATTTCTGCCTTCTTGTCTTTGCCTTTTTCATCTCTATCCTTTGTCACTTTTTGTGCGTTTATGATAACTTTCTCTTTGTAATTTAGTCCACGTTTCTGAAATGGTTTAGCTTTTCCTTCTATTTCTTTCTTATATTGTAGCAGTTCCATTTCACATCCTCCTTTGTCTGATCATCTCTTCTTAGGGTTCTGTGTTTCTGCTTTGTGGTATTTATTCCTAGCTTTGACTGTTTCATTAAGTTTTAGCTACCAACAGCCCATCTAGCTACTGACTTATTTACCTACATAACTACTTGCCTATCAATTCACTTTGAAGTACAGGTTACAATTTTTATTTCCTTTGTGGCAATATTTTTTTTTTAAAGCATTTTCATTATGTACAGCAAAGTTATACCTTTCTTCCTTTTTCTTAAGGTATTTTTGTATGGCAGGCACAAATTCCTTTGGGATAAGATGAGTTTCTGAGAGGATGGGAACCCTGGCTGGTTGGGTCAGGGAAGGTTTCCAAGTTTTACACGTCACCTCTTGTAGCCCCTTTCTGGTTACCTGAATCCAGGTTGGTTTGACAGAAAAGCTTCTGCCTGCAGCTCTGAGTTTCCTAGATATCATCATATCCCAAGGTTATGTCCTCAGTTTCACAAATCATATTTTCCTGTGGTTTTGTGAGATGTCACCTCTGGATTTTCTCAAGCCTTTTCCAGGTCTCTTCTCTTCATATCTCAGAGATTCTGCCCTGTCTAACCTGGATCTGACTTCCTCTCTGGGTGGCTGGGTGGGCCCTTTTAATTATTCCTATTCAGATGAACAATAATGGGATGGATTCCTAAGACAAAGCCAACCATTTGAAGATCAGAACTTCTCTTTTGAAAATAAAAGCCAATAGGAAACTAGAAAAACAAAAACTCTTAATTGTTCATTATTACTCATAATACTTCTCTGCAGAGTCCCATCAACTAATACTGTGGTGTATTCCTTCTAGCCTTTTGATGCACAGTTGAGATACTGTTTTGTACACCACTTTTGATTTTGTTGAATTTTTTAAATTGTAAAATATATTATTTAATTAATTCCCCAAATAGTTATAAAATTTATTGAATACTATGTGCCCCATGCTATTCTAGGTGCTTGGGATATATCAGTGAGCAACAACAGAAAAAGAGTCCCCACCTTTGTGGAGCTTATAGTCTGATCACGGGAGACAGAATAACCAGTAAACATAATAATAAACATGATAATAAATAAATTACATAGTCTGGTAGAAGGTGATGTTGTCTTTGGAAGAAACAATAAAGCAAGGTAATGAGAATCAGGAGTGTAGAAGAATGGATGACCAGCAATTTTAAATAGGTAAGCCTCACTGGTAAAGTGACATGTAGATATTTGTGGAGAAATATATAAAATATATGTAAATGATTTAATTACTAATAACAAAGTGATAAATCAAATATTAAGAGAATATTATCAGTATCAGACTTGGAAGTCCTCAAGTGTCCCAATCCCTTAGATATGATCATCAGTCTCATTTTTGCTATTATCTTTTCCCTACTTTTCTAGTTGTACAATCTATGTATGTACCAAACAGTTTAATTCTGCCAGTTTTAAACTTTATATAAATGAAATCATATTATAGGCCTTTGTTTGTGTTGTGCTTCTTTCACTCAATAATGTTTGTGAAGTTCTTCCATATTATTGTAAATATAATTTGTTCATTTCCATTGCTATTAAGTTATCCTTTATGAATCCATTACAATTTATCTGTTCTACTGCTGATGAATATTGGGTTAATTTGGGACAATAATGAACAATGCTGATGTGGTCATCTCCTTACATAATTTCTGGTGCACATGTGCAAGGGTTTCCTTACTAGTAAGACCATATATTCAAGGGAGGAATGGCTGGGTTGTGAGCTATGTGTATGTTCTACCTCACTCAAGGTTTGAACCAATTTCCAGCTCAAGAAGTGATGCAGAAAAGTTCCCACTGCTTCATGTCATTTCCAAACACGCTGTATTATCAAACTTAATTTTTGACCTTGTAGGTGCAAAATGAGTAAAAACATACTTTCACTCTTTTAAGATTTTCTCTTTGCCTTTGGTGTACTGCATTTTCACTTTAAAGTGTCTAGGTGTGGATTTTTAAAAATTTATCTTGCTTGGTGCTCAGATTATGACAGCTAAGGAGTACTTTAAGACTAAATTTACCATACCTCATTTACTTTAAAACTGTGTCAGACAGCGAGATTCTGTGATACAGCCTTCATATCACACAGATCAAATTCCTAGAAAACTACAATACCTGCTAGTGATCTATGATGACATTCAGAAGTCAACATAACTCTATAGGGTGTATGATTAAATTAAATCATTCCCACTACTAGAAGCCACAGGGTAAATTCCCGAGTGCTAAGTGTGAGACTAATTCAGGCATTTTAGCAAAGGAGCTCTTTCTTCAAATAACATCATGCTATGCATAAAAGCTGACATTTGAGAGTTAAGAGTGGAGCTGCTCTGGGCCACAAAGGGAAGGAGTATCTTAGACAGTGAGAACGTGGTGACCACAAAAGGCAACCACCCATTATAAATAGGAATAGTGATGCCTTGGAGGGAATGCTAGTCTTTCTTGAGTTTAGTTAGAGAGGGGCGACCTCCCCAGGGGTGGCTCAGAATCCAGATCAGTGTGGCTCAGGGAGGCTACATGGGGCAGAGCCTACTGGAAACCAGAAAGTCCCTCGGGCAGCATCTGTCTGTATCACCTGAAAATCAAGACCTGCAGGCAATGCAGCTTCCAAAAACTTCATGTTTTTATTACTTAAGCAATATTTATGAAACATAGGAAAAATAAAATCTGTTCTCTGAATCAAGATACACATTGAGTCTGATTGATTTTAAGTTTTCTTAACTTTGTTCAAGTAAATAATTCAGGACTAAACTTTATGTTCCCTAAAATAAAACAGACAAACTCAAAACACACATTTACATATATATGATTAAATGATACGTGTAAAATGTACCACTTTCTTAAACATGGAAATCTGCCCCCAGTAAGCCTCCATTCCCACTGGAAAATGGAATCTCTAAGGCTGAAGGACCACTTACCTTGACCTTCTCTTCTAGCCTTCCCAAGCGAATATTGCCTTCTACGATTTTGTCGAGAACTCCATGTTTCTCACTTTCTAAACATTGGGCCTAAGGAGAAAGGTGAAAAGAAAAATAATGGGCTCTCAGTTTTATAGAAAGAATTAAAAGAGTAAAAAGTTCTTTGGTCTCCTGTCTCTGCCTTCAGCCATGCTGTCAAGGATCCTCTGCAGTCCAAGCCGATCTTCGGACATGAGAAGGAGGCTGCAACTTTGGCGTACTGCAAACAGGGCAGGAGCCTCATCAAGGGGACTAATTCCATTAGTTTACCTTCTAAAATATCATTTGCCATTATTTAAAGTTCGGGTTATTCACCTTTCAAAATATTCTTCCCCTATGGTTGAAAGATAAAATTTTGAAGAATTTGAATATTCGCTGTTGAAATTATAAAAGATAAAGCTTTTTATGGATAATTTTGTAAAAAAAAATACTCTTAAAATTATATTTACATGTTAATTTGCAGTGTACTTGAAGTAACTGAGGAAACTTACCAAATACATAAGATTGTCACGTTCCTGGGTTATATTCTCTGCCAGGCCAACAAGATTTGCCAGGTACTGGTGAGCAGACATTTCATTCACCATGGCTTTTTCCACCTGCTTTTTGAGGACATCAATTTTCCTTTGAGACCTCCTAAAGAGTTCCCCCAAATGATGGAATAAAGAACTTATTAACCTGAAAGGCTAGGGCATAGTGAATATTCACACTATAAAAACAGCAAGTACATTAGCATTTAAACATTATTTTTTCAGCAAACTAAATCTCTAAGTTTCAAGGTGAGAAAAAGTAACCGAATTTAATTTTAAGCCAAGCGTAATTTCTATCTCAAAGTCAAGGCAATAGGAATCACAAAATGCTTCGCATGATTAATAGGCTAATTATATATTATTCTATTAAATCTTTGGCTCATGTTCTAAAAGACACTTTTGAAAAAAGGAATTCAGTAATATCAAAGAAGACTTTTGGGAAATGGTTAGGAAAAAAGTTCCAGAACTTTCAGAGTCTTAGGGTCGTCATTATGAAGATCAACCCTATGTGAGCTGGATGCGAGAACTGTTGGTTAACACCGGTTAACAGAAAAGCTTATACTGTACTTATATTTTGATATCCAATCATGTCAATTCTATTTTATAGTCGATATTAGAAAAAGATAAAGAATATTCCTCAATTGTCCTTTTTTAACTATTAAAAAAACAGCTTAAGAAAAACCCATAAAAACCTGTTTATTTTCTGTGCCCTTTCAAGTTCAGTTTCCAGCGCTTTGTTTTGAGTTGTCAGATTGTTCTTCTCTAACAGCAGGCCCTTTTTCTGCACTTGCAGGACTGCCAACTTTTCCATCAACTCTTCCATCTCAGCATTTTCTTTCTCTTCTTCCTTCTGCAACTGGCTGATGAATAAAACAGCACAGAGTTGGATCTGGTACAACGAGGCCAAAATGAGGCAGCCACTGCCAGGCAAGTGATAAACAGCCCGCCCCTCCAGCCCTGGGTGGGTCGTTTGGTAGGCCTCTGTACACACATGTCCCCATCCCACCCCTGGAGGATCTGGGATGGAGCTCTTAGAGGACGGGAAAGAAAGCATGGTTGGGTACATACTTCTTTGATGGTAATGATCTAACCCCTTTTTCTGGCCACAGTTCTTGCTTAGGCCTGTATATTTATGAGTATATATACTTATTTATACCCTACTCCTTCCAGAAAGAATTTAAGATAGCTCAATTTTTTACACAGTAATAATTGCTCCCCCTCAAATTCTAATGCTAAAACAAATTTTCTATTATACTGTAGTAATTGCATGTTTTTATGATAAAAGAAACAAAGAACAAGGAGGGCATACAATTTCGATATAGAATTCCGGCAAAAAGATCTCAAGAAAAGAGTTACTTCTTCATGGGTTGTATTGGTCGATTTTCATGTAATAACCAGGACTGAACAGGTGGGGCCACATTCTGAGAGATGGGGTTTCTCTGCATATAAGGGGATGGGGGATTCACTTCCTGGCTTGCTGGTTGGCTGGAGAACAAGCCTCTGGTTGCATGTATTTGGGACCTATATCACTTGTCATACAAATTCAATGACTTCAGCCTGGGATGGCTCCCCAAATATCCGGTCAGGAACTTTCCAAATAGTTTCCACTGCTTTCTAGTTTACTCATTTTAGTCTAAGTGCAGAGGACATAACTAGACAAAAACCACAGAATTGAGGTTTGAATTAAACTCACTTTTTCATTTATCTTTTTCTTCTCTTTGTTTTGTTTTGATTTCAGAATTTTATTTAAAAGTATTTTTTTTGCCAAAGTAATACACCTGGTACTAAATCAACAGTAAAGAAAAGTTCACAATGAAAGCTAACCACAGACAATAGGAAAGGTTGGGAAAGTGTTGGTGGATGTGCACCGCCACCTTAGAGAACAGTATCTAGAAAATGCATTTACTCTACAGCCCAACAATGCCACCTCTAGGTATGTATTTAGGAACACATATAAAAAGTTTACTGTGGCACTGCTTAATGGAGCAAACTTTAAAACAATTTGAATTTCCATTAATAATAGTATTTCATATGATGAAATATCACCATGCAGCACTTAGAAAGAGTAAACTCTATATTTCAGCATGGAAAGATGTTTGAAAAATTGAGTGCAAAATTTCAAGATACCAAAAACACACCAAAAAACATTATATGTTATTCATGGAAACATATGTAAAAGTAAAAAATAAACTGGAAATATGTTTCAGATTTATGATAGTGATCACTTTTGGTAAGTGGTGGGGGTGAGGGGCAAGGATAAGTTAAAAGGGGCTTCAGCTGTGTTTCTAAATTTTAACAATATAGTTCTTAAACAATACAAACCAAAAAAGGTGGAAACAATTCGCAAAAAAAAAAAAAAAAAGAAAAGAAAAAGTTAATAGTTAATATCTGTTGGGGGAAATAGTTGCTTTGAAAAAAAATTTGATAAAATGTTTCCACCCCTAGGTTCTCACACCCCAGAGGAAACTTCTACTGACCATTTCTGATTTCAGTTCTTCTGGTAAAAAACCATGACTTAATTTTTTTTTTAATTGTGAAATATAATGTACATATAGAAAAGTATATGAAAGATAAAAGCATATTTTAACAAATAATTATAAAATGAATACTCAAGTAATTACCATATAGGTCAAGAAAGAACATTTCCAGTACCCCAGAGACTCCCTTGTCCTGCCCCAATCATAGTGCCACCTTCCCTAACCATCATTATGGCATTATCACCTATCTACATATCACTACGGTTCAGTTTAGTTTGCCAGTATTAGAACCACATATAAAGGGAACCAAGATGTATAATTGGTACATGAAAGGATCGGATATATGCACTTCCGTGTTTTTATGCCTCCCACTCATGCATGTTCATGTGTGTGGCTGTTGAATATTTAATTGTATCAGTATATACCAAACTCTGTGTACCCATTTTCCAGCCGACAGTCAATTGGTCTGTATCCTGATACACTTGCAGGATTCCCCAGGGCAGTGCTACTCAAAGTGTGGTCCTCGGATGGGTGTCAGTCTCTAGCTCTTTGTTACTTGTTCACAAGATAAAATACAGATATTTAGAGAATGGCTTCAAAACTTTTATAGCAATTTAACACTGCGTGAGATGAGTGAACTTGGCTTTCTGCGCAGCAGCTTGGGTGCTGTCAAATTTGCAGCTTGGCTGGCTTGTGATAAGAGCTGCATACTTGTCACGTGCAGTATGAATACATAACAATGTGTAATTTTAAGGTTAATTTGCCAACTGTAACTCAAAAACATGTAAAATCCAGAACTCATTTATTTCATGGAAGGCTAACCTAACTATTATTTCATTGGATAAATTGTTGAACTGGATTAATGATAAAAGGTTAAAAAGAAGAATATTGAAAATACAAAGACTTCTGCTTTTAGCCAAGATAGGTTTACCCTTCAGCTAGAAAACCAGGCAGGACATAAGAAACAACTGCTTTCAGACTGTGGACAAAGGCAAAATAGAACTGTGATCCCTGGAAGCAGGAAATAACAAAGTGAGTACTATAATCATCCAGCTTACTGCCAGGCCTCAGCACAGGGCGGGGAAACCCAGCCAGAACCCAGTGGACTTGCTGAGTTGAGAGGTCAGAGGTCAGAGATGAGGGAGGCCCAGGCAGCTAGAACTGTGGGGTAAGAGAGGAGGGAGTGTCACAGAGAGGGAAAGGGATCTAAAGCGCTTCAGGAGAGTCCTCACAAGTCTTTGGCTGCGAGCTGATCTGGACTGGTATGACCGCCAAGGGCTGAGGAAAGAACCATTAGACACAAATAGGCAGAATAATTCTCTACATTCACAAAGAAATGGGAAGAGTACATGAGCCCACCAGCCAGAGTGGAAAGACCTTATAATGTAAGGGACATTAGAGAGAACCCTCAGAAGGGTCTGATTACCTTTGCAGTGGGACTGAACTAACCTTAGACTAATGGTTGCTTTGTGGGTCCCCTAAGAGAGGAAAGGTTTGGGTTCCAGTCTACAGCCATGCTACCCTGAACAAGCCCGATCCCGTCTGATCTTGGAAGCTAAGCAGGGTCGGGCCTGGTTAGTACTTGGATGGGAGACCACCTAGGAAGACCAGGTGCTGTAGGTGTAAAAAAAAAAAAAAAAAGAAAAAAGAAAAAAAGGGATTGTAAACTGACAAGGTCCTTGTAATCTGTGAGGTCAACCAAGGGTTACCTCGCCTAAAAATATATATATATTGGGTTCCAGTAATTGTAATCCAGCATTTATCCAAGCACCAGTCTAAGCACTTCATATGCACTCACTTATTTATTCCCCAACGTCAACCATCTAGAGCTGAAAGCCTCGTGATTTAAAAAATTCCCTCCCACCAAAGTAATTTGCATTTATAAAGGAATACTTGCAAAATATTAAAAAAAAAACACAAAGAAAATAAAAATTACCCACCAATGGTTAATTATGTGTTAACTTGACTAGGCTATGGTGCCCAGTTGTTTGGTTAAACACTAACTGCAGTTAGATGCTGTTGTGAAAGTATTTTGCAGATGTGATTAACGCCTACAATTAGCTGACTTTAAGTAAAAGCGATTACCTTTGATCATGTGGGTGACCTCACCCAATCAGTTGAAGACCTTATGAGTAAAAACTAAGGTTTCCCTAAGAAGAAGGAATTCTGTCTTAAGACTGAACACACAAATCCTGCCTGAGTTTCCAGTCAGCAGGCCTGCCCTATGGATTTCGGATTTGTAAGCCTCCATAATTGCATGAGCCAAATCCTTAAAATTAATCTCTCTCTCTCCTCAAATATACATATATGTATACATATCCTACATATATCCTAATGGTTGTTTCTCTGGAGAACCCTGACAACTAATACACCCAGATTCTCATCTTCCACAGATAAGTGCTACTAACATTTATCCATTCTTCCATTTTTCTATGTACTTATGGTATATATGCAATATATATACACGCATAGACATACCTCATTTTATTGTTTTGCTTTGTTGTGTGTCACAAGTGTTGCCTTTTTCACAAATTGAAGGCAAGAGCCTCCACCAGCAAAAAGATTACGACTTGCTTTAGCACGAGCCTCGCTTTATCGAACCCGCAATATCTACAAGGTATGCCTGCCTACGTAAAATCATACATACACAAACATGGTTTACACACATGCATACATACTAGAGTGATCAACTCATCCCAGTTTGCCTAGGACCTTCCTAGCTTTAGCGCTAAGTCCCACATCCTGGGAAACCCCAGTCACAGGCAAACTGGGATAGTTGGTCACCTTAATAAACACACACACTTTTTTAAAAAAAATAAAATTGCGATCATTTTGTACATATTGTTCTATAACCTAATCTCTTCAAATAAAAATATATTGTGGTGAAAGCAGGACGTCTGGTTTGTTAGCAGGACCCTTTGTATCACGTGTGATGAAAAAATATTTAAAAATGGGTGATGCTGAGAAGGGCAAGAAGATTTTTGTTTGGAATTTGCCCAGCACCATCCTGGAAAAGGGAGGCAAGCACAAGACTGGGCCAAATCTCCACGGTCTATTTAGGCAAAAGACAGGTCAGGCCCCTGGATTTTCTTACACGGATGCCAACTAGAACAAAAGTATCACTTGGGGAGAGGTGAAGTACTGATGGAGCACTTGGAGAATCCCAAGAAGTATATCCCTGGGACAAAAATGATCTTTGCTAGCATGAAGAAGGTGGCAAAAAAAGGGCGGACTTGATAGCTTCTCTCAAAAAAGCTACTGAGTAATAATTGCCTTATTTGTTAAAAAACAGAACTGTCTCATGACTTTTTTCTCATGTGTACCATACTTAAATTGATCTCATACATCAGAATTTAGATCATGAATGGCTAATAGAATATTTCCTTGGACAGTTCCGATTTATATAAGATTGGCTTGTGTTTAAATGGGTATGATCACCTCTTTGAACTCTGACAGTAATTAGGTTTAGCAAGTGCTATCACTGTTTTCCTCTTCTGAAGATATAATTGGGCTTGATTAATAATGTTCAACTTTTCACGAAGATGGTGAATGACATCTCAAAACCTGTAGGTTTTATATTCAGATTTATATAACTGGTTATGTTCATATGCTTAAATACTAAGGAGATCTCTTTGCTGTCTCATAGAACAGCAAGACTCACCTATGTTTCAAGTTATGTTCATTAGCCTGTTAAAGCTGAGGGCTGAAGATAAGTTGGCAATGTCTACTTTATCTTTTTGGTCTTAAGTAGGCCAATTTAATTAAAATTATCTGTATCTAAAATGTTGCCTTTTATTTAATGAAAGGCATTTCTGTGTGGTTTATGTATAATATCAAATAAAAAACATGTAACACTATAGGCTATCTTTCTATGTCAAAAAGAATCTTTTGTAATATCACTTTTAAGGGCTGTGTTATATTCCACTTCATGGCTGTATCCTTTCATTTAACCAGTTATTACTGGATATTTAGATTTCCAGTTCTCCTTTAAATTATCTTTGGTTCTAAAACCAATAAAGGCTGGCACAGTACAGAAAAAACATCATACACACATACAAAGTGCAGACTGTAGCCCTCAAGCCATATTCTAGTTTAATAAAATATTTACTGTTCTCAGACTCGGGCACCTGTGCAGGTGGAGTTAAACAGCTCAGAAAAAGATGGAGCAACCTCTGTCCATTCTGCCTGTAACAACAGGCATGGTGATGCGTCGACACTTGAAAAGACATTAAATCCTTACCTTTTTAACTCATTCACAATCGAAGCATGAACTTTCATTGCAATTTTGCCATCCAACTGTGTTTTTAGTTCTTGGCATTTGGTACGTAAACTTTCCAATTGCTCCTTGTTTTCAGTTAGCTCCTTTTCTTGGCTCTGTGTTTTAGTCTCCAGAAGTATTAGCTGTTTAGTCAGTTTAGAAACTGAAAAACAGAACAGATGGATAAAGACTTGGTACAGGAGACTCAATAAAACATAATTATTGATTACTATGTAATAATAATGAGAGCTGGCTTATAAAAATTATCTTTTAAAAATCTTTTGGTGATTTATAAATTAATACCAAAGGCCTTGTACTTAGAAATTACTGTCCCTATATTAAGCGTTCATTAAATATACACTTTCTTACTATGGTCCAATATCGTGATATTATTGTTAAATGTACAATATTTAACAAGACATGATTCCAGTCTTCAAGGAACTAACTTTCAAAGACTGAGGCCTTAAGTCACATGCAGGTATGCAAGCATACATCATGAGGTTATCCCTAAGACTGCAGGATTTTCAAGGACATCGAATATGGCCAAATGAAACCGAGGGTCCTGACTTAACGTATAATTTTATTTAACATGTAGCCCCAGCTCTCCAAGCAGTTTCTTTACAGCACTGCCTGTAAGTCTTAGCCCTTTGCCTTATTAGTCATTAAGGCCCTGCCCACAAACAATGGCTGTACCTTCACTAAGGGTCACAGGGTACGGGTTTCTGTTAAGCTAAGGAGAGCATCATGGCCTAAGTTGTGTTTCAGCTCCTGAGCCCTAAAGTGGAACAACCCCTGGCCACATCCCCATGAAACAAGACTGAGGGAAACAAAAGCTGACCTCGTGATCTTGAAATTATGATTTACTGTCCTTACTTCGCTCTTGACCCAGGACCTCAAACTCCTTACTCATGATGACTCATGATTTTGCTCTATAAAACCCTTTGGCTGTAAACCATCTCAGGGAGTTTGGGCTTTCAAGCATTAACTTCCCAGTCTCCCGGGCGGCGCCATTCATAATGAAACAGCCAATTTTCCTCCACTGCAGTTCTCAGTGTTCAGTGTCTGGCTCTGCTAGTGCCAGGTGGACGAACTCTTTCTGTTAGGTAACATACACTAAGACCCAAATTTATTATTTTTTCCTTTTCCTCATTAAGTTTTTATGTTTTATGTCCTGGACATGGCAGTATGTAATAATAAGATACTGACTGGGCACGTATTGAAACTAATATATAAGTATTATAGCATAAAACGTTAAACCCTTCTACTTTATACAAACGTTTAGTTGATCAAAATGAATAACTGTTTCTGGGAAATGGGAAAATCAGATAGGCAGCTGACTAAATCACACAGGCCAAAAAGCTGACCTTCCTGTCACATGATAAGAATCATCATACCTGTTCAGATATGCTATGTTTGAGAAAATTAAGCCCAGTAAATATGAAATTAATTTTCCCTGCCATATCTAAGCTTGAAAGCAGACAGCAGCTTAGAAGCTGAAAAACAAAACAGATACTCTTAACAATACTCTCTCTCCAAACCCTCACCACCACCACAAAAAGTGCCAGAGTAAGGGCAAATACTTCTGTACCACGCAACGTCTAGGGGGGCCCCACTGGGAGGAGACAGTTCTGCTCGACTCTTTGAGAAGTGCTCTCACTCTTAAACATGACCTGGCTAACGGAAACCAGTGAAGTGCTAGCCTCGTAGTTTCGGCAGCGGCAGAGGCTGGCAGTTAACTCTTCCACAGTGTGGAAAGGGGAGTGGGTGCAGAAGGTAAAACTGAAAAGAAAGTTCCATTGGCTTGAGCAAGACAGCTTGTATTTCAGCCTCCTGTCCTATGTTATTCTTCACAAGAAAAAAATCAGTAAAGCAAAAGGAAGAAATGCCACTATCTTTTTGCCCGTAAGTTGTAGTTTTAATCAAAGTGGAAGAAATGATTCAGTCTGGCTGACTTCAAAGTTCACTGTCACATGCTGTGAGGCTCCTAGGGGCAGAGAGTGACACACAAGAAGAGGGGGCGCTCATGAAGGCATCAGACAGAGATTTAACCTCTGACAGCACCCACAGCTGGAGGATGGGCAAGAACACAGAGAAACTGTTTGGAGACTGAGTGGTTCCCCATCTGTACTCATTCAGCAAACATTCGGGTACAGATCCTGGTGTTCTTTCAAATCTTTACCTCACATGATTTTTCCCATTTATATGGCATTATTTCCCCTAAAAACAGTTCTGCTGAGTCTAAAGCTGTCATTTAATAACTGATTTACAAAATACATAGAATAATTAGAGAGACACGGTGGAGTCTGAGAGAAAGCAATCGATGCATATGGGTCATGGCTGGGTATGTTATAACATGAACAGCTCTATTTCAATAAAGAATATATTCTTAAAAACATGATTTTCTCTGTTTTCAATTCGAAGAGGGGGACGCTATCAGGAGAGGGGTTCAAGTGTAAAATGACACAACGATGAGGCCACAGTGTTGCCATTACTCACTGGAAAGACGGCTCACCTTCCTGGAGGCGCTCCTGGTGGGTGTCTTTGGCTTTTCTTTGCTGGATCTCCAACTGCTCTATCAACAACCTGTTTTCCTCCAAAACCAGCTCTGCCTGAGCCTGAAGCTGATGCCTACGATTGATTTACAGAGTTAAATACTGCCGTTCAGGTACTGAGTGATTACAGAGACACTCGAGTCTAAAAGAAAGCAGTTGGTGTGTTGTAGGTAATGAATATCTGGACATGTTTTAATGCTAAACATGTTATTAACATAATTAATCTTTCCATTTGTGTTAAATAGGGGGAAGGACAGTAATGAAGTTTGAATTGTGAACTTCAGTGACTTTTTGATATGTAAAATTTCAAGCACATACAAAAGTAGAAAGAATAGAATGATAAACTTCCATGTCCAACATTCAGCTTGAACAATTAACAAATGGCCCGTCTTTTTTCATCTATATAAACCTCCAATCCCCCCACCCACTGGATTACTTTGAAGCAAGCATGAAATATTTTTAGAGAGTTTAGAAAGTTCCATTTTAATTAAAAAAACAAAAATAGTCACTGTAATCAGTAGCATATATTTGTCAAAAAAACAATAGCTTTGTTAAAACCCTTTGGACAGTTCTTAGACTGCACTAAGGCTCCCCAGCCTAATCTCACTGAGCAAACCCCTTCTTTCCAGTCAGCGCAAAGTCAATTCTAGCTCAGCTCAACCTTCATGATTACAAATTCCAATCAGAATGCACTGAAGGGAACTTAGAAATCTAGATCAATGTTTACCACCCAAAGTACACTGTAAACCAGTAAATTATCTCAATTTTCTACTTTCGACTCAAAAATGAGGTGGAGGAAGGAGAAAAAGATGAAGGAGATCAAGCTATGATACCATGACTTCACTCTGACAGGGGCTGTGCACTAGCTCCCAGGCACGCTGGAGGTGGCTGGTAGCCGTGGGAGGGAGGGGGCCGTCATCCGCCCGGGAAAGAAGCCCACCCGGGCCAGTCAGCTCCAGCCTCCTCGTTTCTGCCGCACGCACAGCAGCTCCACTTTGTTTAGTTTTGGACTTTCTTATGAGACATACTTTCTTCCCCCTACCTCCCGTCTTTTCTCTCTCCCTCCTTTTCTCCTTCCTTTTTTTCTTCCCTTCCCTTCCTTCTTTTCAGGGATCACCTATTCCTACCAGAGTTGAAAACCTCAGATTTAGTTTAGCACAAATGGAGACTGGGGTTCCCCAGCTGGTCAGGGGAAGGCAGGACAAGAAATGTAGAGTTTAGCTGCAGCCCAGAAGGTCCCCAAACTTCATTTGAAACTAAGGAGAAAGTGTTTGCTGAAGTGTGAAGTCAGTGTGCCCGAGGATGTGGCAGGAATGTACTGTGCCTCACACCTGTGCAGGTGCAGGGAGCAGCAGCCAAGGAGGCGCAGGCAGGGGAGGGCACGACTGTGAGGGGTTTCAGGAGGGTGATGCTCCACAGCCCAGGACCCCTCCGCCAGATCGAGGGCAGTAAATCCCAAGGCTGGTCAGGGGGATCTCAACAGGCACTGCACAGACCTAACCATTCCCTCAAACAGCACAAGCCTCCACACCAGAGCAGCGTGCAAATTTCAAACGCCAATAAACATGGCATTGGGGAACACTGGGCATATGGATTTGAAAGTGGATCTGTCTTTCTTCTCTTTACTTTATATATTGTTAAGAAAAAAGTAAATAGGTTTGACTTACAGCTATATACAAGGTTAGAGTAAGAATTTGAGGTTCCAGGTTCTCACGAGGACTCTTGGAGGCACGTGAGGCCCAGTCTAACTGACCTGCTTTCCAGAAGCTACTCAAGGAGGGTTCGAAGGGAGACACACTAGGACACCTGACAGAAGAAAATCCACGTTCAACAGGGGAAGCCACAGTACACCAAGATCCAGTAGTGCCTAGGCCAGTCCCAAGTGAGTCATCAGTGACCATAAACTTAGAAAGAACCGATCTATCAGTAAGAATGCTGTTGACCCGATTCCAAATTTCTGAATATCACATATGGAACATATTTAATTTTTGTCAGTGATGTTAACCCATTTAAAAAAATACTAAACATAACACACCTTCCCAAGGCAGAAAAGATATATCTGAATAGTTTTTGCTTTCCTAGCCTTGCCTGCATTATTGCCTTTAGACTTCTGGCGACATCTGCTTTCTTGAATTCACCGAACAGGCATTTGCTGCTGCTGTGTAGAAGAACAGGACACGGCCCCTGCCCTCGAGAAGCTCGCAAAGGAGAAGAGGGACACACGGGCTGGCACTGTGTGGTAGGTATCAAGAGGGCATGTGTCTGGGGCTATGTCAGTAACTGAGATAAGAGAGCAAATAACTCTGCCAAATGGGAGAACTACTGACCAGGTCATTTGCAAGGGGCCCTAAGGGATAGGTGGGAGAGCAGAAGGAGGGAGCAGTGACAGCAACAGGACAGACGTGAGCAGCACAGAGCTGTCAGGGAGTGAAAGGCCTGCAGAGAAAGGACAGGACAGGGTTGAGGGCAAAGCCGGCTGTGCAGGGCCTCGTGCTGGGCTTTCTGTTCTAAAGCCCTGGGAGCGCCTGGAGGGGTCTGAGAAAGGATGTGACCCAACAGGTTTGGGATGAGAAAAGCACCATAGAAAAATACAACCTCGGGAAATAAAAATGGGGATAGCAAATATATTGCAGGTTTAAAAACCTATTTAGAAGTTTTAAATATTTAAAATACAAGTTTAGAGTAAACTACTAGGATTTCACTGTATCTTAATTTCTTAGAAACGCTCCCTTAAAATATTTTAGTTTGAAAAAGAAAATGTATTTGTTTAATAAAATGTATTCCTATTATTATTTTTTTTGATTAGTTACAATACCGGAACCGCAACCCCACTTGCCATTCCTCACTGGTGAGAGTCCTGCTCTTAATCAACTGCTGGTGCAGGTCTTCATTCTCTTTCACCACTTCTTGGACGCGCATCCTGAACACTCTCATTTCCTCCTGAAATAAAATGCATGTAACTTGTAATCCACACACATATCTATACTTCTTAGCTCTAGTGCTGTTGCTGTGGCTAAAATCAAATGCTAATAGCTTTTTAGCAAAGTCTCACAGTAACAGACAGACAGCCTGGAACGCGGGACCAGCGCCAAGTGCTCTCGGTCTAGTGAGGAAACACGGGACAACTATGAAGCTGTGTGAAAAGGACACCAAACGTCAGGTTTTACACTTTCGATTCCTAATTTCAGAACATTTTTCTGTTCCTGGCAAGTACCTGAACAGATAAAACGGGGGATAAGAAAAGCAGAGGTGGCTATAAACGCTAATTTTTCCTTCGTTTAAAGACTTTGGAGGTTAAAATGGAGCTTTTTAGATAAAAAGGACTTGTGCTATCCTTCGGTGAGAAGCTCAGGTGCCAATATTTATCCTGCGATGCTTCTAAATTTACTTCTCCCCAGCGATCAGACATTTATGCTTAAACCTGTTTAACTTAAAACAGCCACTTCTCTCCATCACCTTCCTGCCCAGGCACGCTCCCACTAACTGGTAGTCCACTGGCTCTTTTTCAGAACAGGAGTCAGGCAAACTAAAGCCCACAGGTCAGCCGCCTATTTTGTAAGTAGAGTTTTACCGGAATGCAGACAGGCTCATTTGTTTAACGTTGTCTATGGCTGCTTTACGCTACAACGCAGAGCTGAGTAGTTGCAGAGACCGACTGTGGGGTCCGCAAAGCTGAAACTATTCACTCAGTGGCCCTTACAGAAAATGTTTCTTGACCCTTGTTTTAGAAGGAGCACTGAGTTAGTAATCTTATTAATTAATAGGATTGACAGTTCACCAATTAGTGTCAGATTAATTCATCCTCTTAAATAATTGTCCAAAAAGAAGTCTAGAAGAAAAGGTCCAAAATCATATAACATGCGCCCTCTACACAGGACAGTGTAGTAACAGGCTGGATGACTCTTGAGACCCTTCCAACTAGGGATCCCAGAAAAACCAACACTTCTCCCCCTGGATCCTTCCACTTCCAGATTTCTTTGGCCACTAAAATGAGGAACACAGCGGCATGTGGCACGACGAGGTGTGGACGTATCCACGACCCAGAACGGCCTTCATCTCCTGTGCAATTAAAATAAGTCCGGCTTCCAGAAGCCATTCCCATAAAACAGGTGAACAAAGTAGAAATGAATAAACACCTCATTTCCTCAAAATGCTTCCCAGGACAGCTCAATAATAGGACTTCCCTGGGGTCAGCTCTTCATGGAATTAAGAAGCATCCAAGTCTGCCTAAAACGCACCTGGCTTACTACCTTTCCCTGTCTGCCCAAATGTCCCTTCTAACAGTGGTGTTCACAGTGGCAAAGTAGCAGGAAAGAAGTGCCTCCCATTGCTGCCGTCTCTGCTCCCCCAGATCCCAGCCCACGTGGGGCTGCCTGCCTGGGAATCTTCCAATGCGGCACCCCCCAGACCCTCCATATCCCATCCCCAGGTGTCCCACCCACCCATCTTGCTCCGCTGATCACTCCTTCCTGCCTCCCCTCTTCCTTCTTTACCTCCTTCCTTCCTTTCTCCTCTCCTTCCTTTAACATGCATTTGAGTGGCCATTAAATGTTGAACATACTTACCTTCAAACTGTTTCTTCAAAGTCTGAAACAGTCTTATTTTTGTAAACCTTGTCTCTTCTGAGACATTTGCCAACCTACCTGAAGGGTGGCATTGAGCTCATCCTTCTCCTTCATTCTGTCTTCATAAGCCAGCAACAAGGGTGACAGATACTTTACATCCAACTGAAGATAATGGAGTAAAGAAGGTTAATATATTTCTTACATCTAACCACAGTCAAGAAATTTTTAAAAAGGTGAGAAAATACACTTAATTTGGAATGGATTTCAATTGCTATTCGAATATAGCCCAGACAATATGGGCCTGAAATCAAATAACTTTCACTTACCAACCAGGGTGGTACAGGGCCCTGTGATGGGAGGCCTTCAATATTTATGCTCTAAGAACAAAACACAGTTTGAAGACCAATTAAACTACAAATTTCAAGTCTTAGACGTTTTTAATCTAGACAACTCATCAGCAATCAATGCATTTATATGTATATGTAGGTGCATATAGCTACAAATTTCAAGCCTTAGATGTTTTTAATCTAGACAACTCATCAGCAATCTATGCATCTATATGTATATTGTAGGTGCAAGAAATTTTCAGAAAAATTTCTTCTGAAACATTTGAGAGTGATTTGCAGGTATAATGTCCCCTTTCCGATACTTCAGTGTGTATTTCCTAAAAACAAAAATATTCATTTACTCAACCACAGTACCATCACAAAAATCAAGAAATCAACAACGAATACAATACTATGTTCCAATCTACAGGCTATATTCAAATTTCACCTGTTTTTATGAGTTCAACTTTTTTTTTTTTAAAGAGTCCACATATGTGATACTGCGCAGTATTTGTCTAGCTTATTTCACTCAGCATAATGTCCTCCAGATTCATCTATGTTGTAGCAAATGGCAGGATTGCCTTCTTTTTGAAGGTTGAACATTCCATGATATATATGTGTATATATATAAATACAAACCATACATATAGATCATAAACCATATGTATCACATTTTTTTTATCCATTCATCGGACAATGGAAACAAGTCTCTCCCTATCTTAGCTAATGTGAATAACGCTGCATAAAACATGGGAGTGTTTTATCACATTTCAAGATATTGTTTCCTTTGAATATATGTGAAATGGGATTGCTGAATCGCACGGTAGTTCTAGTTTTAATTTCCTGAGGAATCGCCATACTGTTTTCCATTGCGACTACCAGTTCATACTCCCACCAACAATGTTCAAGGTTCCCTTTTCTTCATACCCACACCAGCATTTGTTATCTTGTCTTTTTGATAATAGCTATTCTAACAGGTATGAGGTGGTATCTCTGTGTGGTTTTGATTTGCATTTCTCTGATGATTAGTGATGTTGAATACCTTTACATGTACCTACTGGCCATTTGTATGTCTTCTTTGGAAAAACTGCTATTCAGGTTTTATGCCCTTTTTAAAAATTGGGTTATTTGTTTCTGTGCTATTGAGTTACATGAGTTCTTCATATATTTTGTATATTAAATCCTTATTGAACATGTGTTTGCAAATATTTTCTCCCATTCCAGGGATTCCCCTTTTGTTCATGGTTTCCTTTGCTGTACAGATTTTTATTTCAAGGTAGTCCCATTTATTTTCGCATTTTGGTATCAAATACAAAAAAAACATTGTCAAGGCCAATGTCAAGGAGTTTCATGCCTTCAGGTCTTACATTCAAGTCTTTAATCCATTTTGAGCTGAGTTTTGTGTATGGCGTAAGACAGGGATTCAGTTTCATTCTGTCCCTTGAGAGAATCCAGCTTTGCCAAAACTATTTATTAGAGACTGTCCTCTCTTCACTGTATATCCTTCGCTTCTTTATAGAAAATAAACTAATCATATATGCATGGGTTTATTTCTGGGCCCTTTATTCTGTTCTCTTGATCTATGTATCTGTTTTTATGCCAATATCATACTGTTTTGATTTCTATAGCCATGTAATATAGTTTGAAATCAGGTGTAATGCCTCCAACTTTGTTCTTTCTCAGGATTGCTTTAACTATTCTCGGTCTTCGGTGGTTCGATATGAATTTTAGGATTGTTTTATCTATTACTGTGGAAAATATCATTAGAATTTTAATAGGGATAGCAATGAATCTGTAGATCCACTTTGGATAGTATAAACATTTTAACATTAATTCTTCCAATCCATGAACAATAGAATATCTTTCCATTTGTGTCTTCTTTCTTTCATCAATGTTTTATAATTTTCAGTGTACAGATCTTTCACCTCCTTTGTTAAATTTATTCCTAAATATTTCATTTTTTGTGATGCTATTTTAAATGGGTTTTCTTAATATCTTTTTCCAATAATTTGTTGTTACTGTATAGAAACACGCTTATTTTTGTATATTGATTTTATACCCACAACTATACTGAATTTTTTTTTATTAGTCCTAACAGTTTTTGGTAGAGTCTTTAGGATTTTCTATATATAATATCAAGACATTAGCGAACAGAGACAATTTTACTTTTTCCTTTCTGATTTGGATGGCTTTTACATCTTTTTTTGCCAAATTACCCTGGCTAGGACTTCTAGTATTATGTTGAATAAAAGTAATGAGAATGGGCATCCTTGTCTTATTCCTGATCTTACAGGAAAAGGTTTCAGCTTTTTACTGTTGAGTATGATGTTAGCTGTGAACTTGTCGTATACAGACCCTATTGACGTGCTTCTTCTATACTGTTTGTAGAGTTTTTATCAGGAAAGTGTGTTGAATTTTGTCAAATGCTTTTTTTGTATTTATTGAAATGATCGTAATTTTTACTCTCCATTTAATGTGATGTATCACATTTATTGACTTGCATATGTTGAATCATCCTTGCGTCTGAGGAAATCACACTTGATTACGGTGTATGAGCCTTTAAATGTACTGTTAAATTCAGTTTGCTAATATTTTGTTGAGGATTTTTGCATCTCTGTTCAACCGGGATATTGGCCTGTAATCTCTTTAGTGTTCTTACTTGGTTTTGCTATCAAAGTAATGCTGATTTTGTAAAATGAATTTGGAAGTCTTCCTTCCTCTTCAGTTTTTTGGAAAATTTTAAGAACTGATATTACTTTTCCTTTAAATATTTGGCAGAATTCACCAGGGAATCCACGTGGTCCTGGACCTTTCTTTGTTAAGGGGCTTTGATTACCGATTCGATCTCCTTACTAGTAATAGGTCTGTTCAGAACTTCTAATTCTTTATGATTCAGTCTTAATTGTTCACAGTAGTTTCTTATGATCCTTAGTATTTCTGTGTTACCAGTTGTAATGTCTCCTCCTTCCTTTTTTTTTAATTTTAATTTTAATTTATTTTTTAGGTAAGACAACCCTTGGTTGACCTTACAGATTGCTAGGACCCTGTCAGCTTACAATCTCTTATTATTTTATTTTATACGCCTACAGCACCTAGTCTTCCTAGGTGGTCTCCCATCCAAGTACTAACCAGGCCTGACCCTGCTTAGCTTCCGAGATCAGATGTGATCGGGCTTGTTCAGGGTAAGCATGGCTGTAGACTCTTCTTTTATTTCTAATTTTATTTATTTGAATCTTTTTTTCTTAGTCTAGCTAAAGATTGGTCAGTTTTGGTTATCTTTTCAAAAAACCAGCTCTTAAATTTCATTGATCTATTATTCTGTTGTCTTTTTAGTCTTATTACTTGTTTCTGCTCTGATTGTTATTTTATGCCTTCTATTAACTTTAGGCTTAGTTCCAAAGTTCTCCTTTTCCTAGTTCCTTGAGGTATAAATTTAGGTTGTATGAGATCTTTTTCTTAACATTCATATTTATTGCTATAAATTTCTCTTTAGAACCGCTTTTGCTACATCCCTCAAGTTTTGGTATGTTGTGCTTCCATTTTCATTTGTCTCAAGGTAATTTTTCGATTTGTCTTTTTTCTTTAACACACTGGTTGTTCAGTAGCATGTTGTTCAATCTCCACACATTTGTAAATTTTCCAGTTTTCTTCTTGTGAGTTATTTCTAATTTCATATATTCTGGTTGAAAAAGATGCTTGATATGATTTCAATCTTCTTAAATTTATTAAGACTTGTTTTGTGGCCTAGCATATGAACTAACCCGGAGAATGTTCCACGTGCACTTGAGAAAAATGTGTATTCTATTGCTGCTGGACGGAAGGCTCTGTATTAGGTCCATCTGGACTAACATGCAGTTTAAATCCAGTATTTCCTTACTGACCTTCTGTCTGGACAATCTATCTACTGTTGGGGTATCGAAGTCTACTTCTCCCCTTCGATTGTTAATATTTGCTTTATACATTTAGGTGCTCTGATGTTGAGTGCATAAATATTTACAATTGTTATATCTTCTTCATATATTGACTCTTTTATCATTATATAATAACCTTGTCTCAGTAGTTTTGACTCAAAGTCTATTTTGTCTGATTTAAGTATAGCTACACCTGCTTTCTTTTGGCTTCTATTTGCATTAAATGTATTTTCCCAACCCTTCACTTTCAGTCTATGTGTGTCCTTACAGCTGAAGTGAGTCTTTTGTAGGCAACATATAGTTGGATCTTGTTTTTTTTATCCATTCTGGCACTCTACGTCTTTTGATTGGGGAATTTAGTCCTTTCATTTAAAGTAATTATTGACAAATATGGATTTTTTCATTGTCATTTTTCATTGTTTTCTGGCTGTTTTGTAGTTCCTTTCTTCCTTTCTTATTCTCTTCCTTTGTGATCTGATGATTTTCTGTAGTGGTATGCTTTGATTCTTGATTCTTTTCTCTTTATCTTTTGCGTACATCTACTACAGGTTTTTGCTTTGTGAGGCTTACATAAAACATCTTACAGAAATTTATTTTAAGCTGATAACAATTTAACTTTGAGCTTCTAATCAACCTGCATCTAGGTGCTGACTATAATTCCCTTTGTTGGGACGCTGGTGGGTCCTGGTACACACCAAACACGCAAAAGCTCTACATTTTTATCACCAACTCCATATTTGTTTTTAATACTGCAATTTATATTTTTATATTGTGTATCCATTAACTTTGAATACTTTTGTCTTTAACTTTTTACTAGTAATTTACCCACCACAATTACAAATTACGTATTCTGAATTTAACTATATATTTAACTTTACCGGTGAGTTTTACACTTTCATATGATTTTGTTACTAATTAGTACCCGCTCTTTTCAGCTTGAAGAACTAACTCCCTTTAACATTTCTTATAAGGATGATCTGTTGGTGATGAACTCCTTCAGGTTTTGTTTGTCTGGGAAACACTGTATCTTGTTTTCGATTATGAAGGACAACTTTACCAGGAAGAGTATTCTTAGTTGGAAGAATTTTTTCTTTCAGCATTTCGAATGTATCGTCCCACACCCTTGTGCCTTGCAAAGTTTCTGCTAAACCCTTTTCCTGTTTAGAAAAAAAAGTGCAGTTCACTGCCAGTGCTAACTTAACATCATGCGTTAAGAATGCTACGTTTTCTGGGATTTGACATTTTAAGTGATTGAGAATAACTATATTTTGTAAATAGAAATACCACTACTAAAAACAGAATCGTATAAACACATGATCTCATTTGTTTCCAAAGAGTGATGAGAAAATAATAATAAAAGCAAGATATTTTGTGACAAACTTTGGGGGTAAGGTTAAGACTGTAATATGCAAGTTATCTAGGGGTAAATGCCGCAGCCACAAGTGCCACCGGCAAGTATTCTCGGGGCAAATGGGAAAGGGGTTAAAAATCTGCTGATAAGTCTTATGGAGGTTCCCTTGTATGTGAAAAACCTTTTTTTCTCTTGCTGTTTTTAAGATTTCTCTCATTTTTAACTTTGACAATTTAATGATACTGTGTTTTGGTGTAGGTCTCTTTAGTTTAATCTCATTTGGTACTCTGGACTTCCTAAATCTAGATGTCTGTTTCTTTCCCCAGGTTAGGGAAGTTTTCAGCTATTATTTCTTTGATAAGCTTTCTGTTGTTTTCTTCTCCTTCTGAGACCTCTATAATGTGGTATATTCCGCTGCTTGATGGTGTTACATAAATCCCTTAAACTATCTTCACTCTTTTTCGTTCTTTCTTCTTTTTAATCCTCTGATTGAATGAAGTCCATTGCCTTGTCTTCGAGTTTGCTGAACCTTTCTTCTACTTGCTCTAGTCTGCTGTGGAACCCCTCTGTTGAATTTTTTAGTTATTGTATTCTTCAACTTTATGATTTGTTTGGTATTCTTTAAATATTTTCTGTCTCTTTGTTGAAATTCTCACTTCTTCATGTAGTTTTCCTGACTTTGATGAGCATCTTTATGACTTATTTTGAACTGTGTATTGAGTAAATCACTTATCTTCATTTCATTAAGGGTGGTTTCTGGAGATTTATTTTGTTCTTTCGTTTGAAACATATTCTTTTTTCTCTTCATTTTCCTTGACCTTGTTTTGGTTTTTGCACATTGGCTAAAACAGCCTTCTCTTCCAATCTTGACAGAATGGTCTCTTATACGAGATGAACCTCATCAGCCTGGTTGGAGCTCCTACTTGCCCTTCAAACCTTTGTGATTGTCCACTGTCTTTGTTCTTAGTGGTTCCCGGTAGTTGAGGGTATACCAAGACCCACCAATGTTCCAAGGAAGGTTATTGCAGTCAGCGCCTAGACGCAGGCTGATCAAAATCCAGACCCTCAGGCAAAAGCTGGAAAAGTAAGCAGCTATACCCCTTCCAGGGAAAAACTGGAAGATGGTCGTTTTTGCCTGTTTTCTTTGTGCTGAGCCTGGGTGTAGAGCCGTGCAGGTGAGTGTATGTGTGTGTGTGGGGGGTGCTCCTGAGCCCATTTAAAAATTGCTTCTTTGTTTGTTATAGTCCTGTATGGGACTTGTGAATACAAGTCCCACTGGTTATCAGAGGTAGGTGATTTGGAGGCTTGTTAAAACTAGTCTGCTTTCTCTTGAAAGTTAGTGCATTGACAAACAACAGCTGTAAATTTGAGGAACGGGACTGAGGATGGAGCAGCTGACATGGACTTTCACTTTTACTTTATATAAACTTCTGTATTGTCCCAAGTTTTTACAAAGAATCTTTACTGCCTTTGTTATGAGAAAACAGAAGAAGGAAGGGAAGAAGAAAGGGAGAGAGAAAAGAAGAAAAGGAGGGAAGGAGGGAAGGAGAGAAGAAGGAAATAGAAAGGTTCCTAGAAAGACTATGCTTGTATGTGTCTTTTGTAACAAACTATAATAAATACGAACTTTTCATGGTTGGAAATAAATTCAACAGGAAAGATAAAAAAATCTGAAAACTTTCTTCATTGGAAACATTACCTCTTCCTTGGATAAAGGCCTGAATTTTGTTTGATATCTACTCAATTCCACGTTCAAACGATGGACAGTCATCTTCAACCCATCATTTTCGTCCACCAGTTCCTGAGCTTGTTTTCTTAGACAAAGTAATTCAGGTGCAGCAACTATTGAAAAAAAATTATAAGAACTTGTAACAAACTGATTAAGATTTTATATAAATTGCTAATAATCTGCTCTTTTTTCCTTTTAGGTTCATAGAGGCAGTGAATGACAAATATATAGGTATAAATGAATAAAAGTTTCTAAGTTTTTTAACCCTCGATAGTCAACACGATTTTGGAAGCTTGTGGCAAATCATACAGAATAAATGGAAATTTTATCAGAGCTAAAAACCTTCCCAAATAATAGCAGTGGCCTATTAGAAAATATAACAGAAAACAGATCCCACAAAGTAATAACATAAATAATGTAAAGTATCTAGAAATAAATGTGCTTAAGAAATCTATAGAGTGGGTATGAAGAAAACTATATCATCTTTCTTCAGGCCATAATATTTGTCTTGTATAAATAGATAAATGTATAGAGATAACATTAGTGAATATTTACATAAACTTAGAGGTCAAAAGGACCTGACACCAAGGCATAAGTCATAAAAAAGAGATATCATATAGATTGTTAAATTATCAACAAACTGAAAAAATACCTATGTACATGACAAGGGCTAAAATCCTTAATATGTAAAGAGTTCCTACAAACCAATAAGAAAAAGCCATGCATCTCAATTTAAATTGTGAAAATTTATAAAAAAGAAAATGAACTGTAAAGATATGAAAAAAAGAAAAAACTTGAGCTCATCAATAATAAAAAAATACAAATTAAAATGGGATTCCTTTTTCTTGTATGCCTACCAAATTAGCAAGAAAAATGATGAAAAATCCTCATCATTGGTAAGTACATGGTAAAAAAGGCACTTTTATATGCTGCTCGGAAGGATAAAAACTGATAAGATATGTATGTTATTATCTTAAGCATCAAATTCCAGAAGTATTGGAATTTCTTTAGCATGACATAATGATATAGATAAAATCAAATTTCAATATAAGAATATTAATGATGAAAATGTTGTAACATGAAATATCAACATTAATATCAACAAATACTCCAACCTAAAATATTAACTCTCAAAATAAATATGTTATTATAAAATAAGTTCTGTTTGTTCCTTTAACAAAAGAACTGTGTAGCTGTCCCCACCTTCCTCAGAGGATGCTTTCTCAGCCTCTTTCAGCTTTCTATTTTCTTTCTCTGTTCTTTTAAGTTTTAATTGTAGTTCTTTCATTGCTTGTTTTACTAGATTAAGTTCAAAAGTAAGGGTTTGGTTTGTACTGTTCAGATGCAAATTTTCTTCTCTTAATTCCTCAAATTTTTCTTTGGTGATTTCTATCCATCGTTGACGTGTTTTACCAGTTATATCTGAAAAGGTTCAGGGAAAAAGTTTTAAAATATTAACTGATATTTACAATTTTACATAAAAATTACATGAAACTTTCTTTGAAAAACTATGTGAGCAACTACTTCATGTCAGATCTCATGCTATGTTCTCTGGGCCCTGGAAAGAGATGTATAGAAAAGAATGAGTTGTCTGACAAGACTACAGGGGGTGACAGGAAGAGAGGGAGTGGGGGGGGGGCAGAAACCAGAGGAGGACCTTCTATGTCATAATATGCAGAGTGGACGTCACCAGGAGCCAGAGGAGCTTTTAGGCAGAGGTGTGAAAAAGGAGAGGGCCTACTCTC